AATCTACTCATTTCAAAGAACAAAAAGGCCTCGAAACATCAAATCATCATTATAATAATAGGATATGTTGCTTGATGTCGGCAGCATTAGATAGTTCCTGTGCAGCTGTTGAGGTTGCTAGGCGACAGGGGAAGCACTTAGAAACTAAAAAGGTGAGGGCGGGGACAGCTGGTGACACAAACGGGGAACCGTCCTTAGATAAGACCGTCTCATTTCAGATCAGTCTGAGGGGTCTACACAGCCTACAAAGGATGCTACCCCTGAACTGAGACACCTCAATAGTCTCTGTGATAATGTGTTTAGAGTCAAAGCACAGGCTGAAGAAATGTATCGAGCCTTTGAGTCAACAAGACAAATATATTGAAATATGTCCTAAGTATGAAACAAAGTAGAATACTTGAATACTGGACTTTCCCTTTAAGGGGGAAGAGAAAACTGGTTCATACCGAATTCTAGGCCATCAAAGCGGGCCATGTTGGATGCCACCTCAGCGTGGCATAGGACGTGGTAGCACACGATGGAGTACTGGGTGTGGGGGAGGGACACCTGCTCCACTCGAGCCCCCGCCCGCTCAAACATGTCAGCGACACGACTCCACTGTGTCAGAGTCTCCTCAGACAGCCCTGGGGCGTGGTACTCCTGACAGACATTTTTATAAAAGGACACACAAATCAATGTTTTCCAATTCACTGTGAGGTTTTCAAGAGTTAGGATTCAGAGCCATCTTCATGTGCATGTAATGAAGTCCACAAGGAAGATTATTTAGTAACACTGCCTCTAATTAGACATGTACTTTTTAAAGTGGTTTGAAAATGCCCTTGAAATACTTAGATCTTTGATGATTTAAGTGACTTTTGAAGTACTTGTGCCAGTGAGGTGGAGATACTGGAGAGGAGTTAGAGGTCTTAACTCACCTTAGGGATGCCCACACAGATGTTCTTGACATCAAAGTCTTCAGGTAGTTCTGTTATTGTTGACGCTGCAGGAATTGTTGTTGAGTCTCTGATATCAAGGCCTTGGAGGATACCTGTGTGACATGCCAACAAAAAGCGCGGGTTAGCTCCATTATTGGAGGTAAAACCACGGGTCTGGATAAATAAAGACTTGTGTGCCAGTTAAGAGAAATGGTGTCAAGTATTAGTTACAGAAGTAGTTTAATGAATAAGTTCCTGCACGTTTTTACTGAAGATAAAGGAGTGATGTGCATCAAAACAATTTCATTATTATTATTATTATTATTATTAATAATAATAATAATAATAATAATAATAATAATAATAATCAATTGTCCATAATAACAAAGTGCAATATTGAAACAAACAGTGCAATAATCTTGAAAATGTGTGTACATATTCCATCTGACTGTTATTTGTGTAAATATTTCTTGTACCTATTATTGAAATCTTACTTACATTCCTATTCTATTTGATTAATGTTTTTATTACTATATTTCTACAGCTATATTATATATTTTGGAGCAACTGTAATGACCAAATTTCCCTCTGGGATTAATAAAGTATTTCTGATTCTGATTCTGATATTACTTCACCATGTGTGATTGAATTTACAGCTCTTTATTTGAAGGAGGAAGCTGGAAAATGATGGCCATATTCCTTACTGAAGGACAACATGCCTACAACAGTGTTACATCAGTTCATGATTGGTCTCCTACCTAAGACAGTGGCTGCATCGCTGACACTGCGGGTCATGATGCCTGGGACGTCCATGGAGTTGACCAGGGGGATGAGACCGTGTCTGGACAGCAGGCCGTAGGTGGGCTTCAGAGCTACAACGCCACACAGCGCTCCAGGGTTACGAGTAGAACCGCCCGTGTCTGAACCCACAGCCCTGCCAAGTGATCACCGAGGAGCCGGTCAATATGAATTTTGAGATCAAACTTGTTCTTTTGTTTTTTTTCTTTGAAGATGAAGTAGGACCCTTACAGGTAGCTGGTGAGTGAGGCTACAGCTGCAGCACTTCCTCCAGAACTTCCTCCAGTGACGACCCAATCGGAGTCTGGCTGTGCCCCGGTCTGCTCTCTGAAGGGAGCGGCGTAGCTCCAGGGGTTTCTCACTGGACCAAAAGCGCCGTCAGTACTGCCCGCACTGAGAAGAATAGAAAAAGAATTAAGAAATCAGAAAATTACAATCAGTCATATTAAAAGTGGATTCCACATTTCTCTCTGTAACTGTACACACGTGTAAAAGCTTCATCAAGATATTAATCAATCTAATTCAGACTAAACTCTATTCTGACATTGTTAGAATGGATCTACCCCATAGCAAACTCATCCATGTTGGTCTTCCCAACGAGAACAGCCCCTTGATCAAAGAGCTTCTGGACCATGGTGGCATTGTAGGGCGGAGTGTAGTCTGTAGAGAAAGCAACAGCAGGTTTTCAATGTCTTGGCACAGAGAGAAAACTACGATGGAAGAACTTTCACTGAGGTTCACACAAACCTTTCAGCATCCTGGACGCACACGTCGTCCTGATGTTTTCTGTGCAGAAGTTGTCCTTTGCTGCAAATGGGATTCCATCCAGAGGACCTTTGGGCTTACCTGCAGGAAGACGAGATTAAACGGTAACACATGTGCCTCTACAAAGATGACCTTTAAAAAAAACACTCACTTGAACACACCTTGGAGGAGTCTCGTTTCCGCTTCTTGAGCCTGCTTCAGTGCCAACTCCTCAGTCACAGTGATGTAAGCATTAAGATGTTGTGTTTTCTTGATGCGGTTCAGACACTTCCTACAGAGCTCTGTTGGGGAGACTCTTCCCTCCCTGAGCGCCAAAGACACCTTTAATAAACAATGAGGAAACAGCTGTGGGTTAATATAAACAACGGCAGTGTTTGTGCGAGTATGACAGTGAGTCAGGATCCAAACAAACTGAAATAGTAAAGGGGAATCTGTTCATATCAAGCTCATTACTTACACATGCCTTATGGGGCTGCACAATAAATCACAGTTTTATAATTATCCCAATATGAGCTTTCACCATACACACATTACAAAAATCTGAGTCTATCGCAATAAATAAGAAAATAATTTGATGTAAACACACACTGCTTTCTCATTCAGCATGTTTACATTTTATGCCCTCACAATCCTCATGCTGTCAGATGAAACTCAAGCCAACTATCAGCTATACCTCAGAGTAAATGCTTAAAATGTAATGGTAAAAAAAGAAGCTTAATTTACTCTGGATTGACAAGAAGCATGGTGCAAACAGCTTTATTTATTTATCAGACATTTATCATCATTATGAAGCATGAAATAGATTAAAGTTCAAAATAAGTAAATTACGGTTGTAAGATTCAAATGTCAAATGGCCGTATTCAAGCATACACAAACTCACAGCTTTTGTTTGGAATAACTTCCTGTATTTTTCACATCGAAATAAACAACCGAGAAATAAAAGATATCACAATGTCACTTCAATTAAAGAAAGACTTTCTTTACTATACGGCCAACAGGGTACCTGGTGCCCAGCCTCTACGTTCTCAGATGAACATGCCATGAAAAATGAATCAAAACTCCTCTGCACACTGAAAATAACTTTACTGTATTTTATCGCTCACAATAAAATACAGTAAAGTTATTTTCAGTATCAAACTCAGACTCAGCTTTCTTTACTATATTTAAGGTCAATTTTAGGTTTTACAGCTTCCTTTTTCTATTCCATTATATGGATATGCATCATATCATAAAATAATATGTTTCTAATGTACAAAGAGAAATGGTCTGTAGATATTTGGTGCAAACCAAAACTAAGAACATACTGTCTCATAAAGGATTGCTACAGCGTAGAAGCCTATGCTAAATTTAATTTAACCAAAAGACAAAGATCCCTCTGCGCTCAGCTACGTTCAGGAACATTGCCTTTAGGCAGGTTTAATTCCCTTCCAGAGGAAGATCGAGTTTGTTTGTTGTGAGTTAGGAGAAACTGAAAAGGAGATTCACTTTTTGTTTTACTGCCCGATGTACGCTGACACCAGGGATGTTCTTTTGAAAAGAATGTCTTCAATGATACACACCACTTTATTATGGACCAGTATTCAGTTTATGTTGGTTTCTTTTGGCTAGAGGATTATGAAAAACTTGAGTTGTGTTTTAAAAAAGGAACCTTTGTTACAGCAGATTTTGTTTGTAAAGCCTGGGGAAAAAAGACACAACACGCTGTTTAAGACTGAACTGTGACAGGAGCCGGCAACTTTGTAATGTTATGATTTTTAAATGTGAACCACTGCAACTGAATTCTTTGGTGTCTTATAAGCCCATGAGGGTCGGACACTTTGTGTGCATGACACCAAAATAAATGAATCATCATCAATAATCATCATCATATTAAAGTACGTCTGAATTTAGTTTGATCTTTTGCTTGTTTTTCACTATTATAGTCATTTTAACATCGTTTTACAATTATAGTGTCAATACTGCAAAATGAAAAGACAAACCCATCAGTTAAAGGAACATAGTGTTGTTCATTATAGAGACTGTTAACTGAACACAAATGTATTTCTCTGGAGACTTTAAAGCCAAAATGTTGAGCAGGTTTTTTTCCTCTCTAGTTTTTTTGTTTTTTATGCACATTTATGCAGTTTAACTTCCATGACTGTGTCCAGAATATATAATACAGTCTTCAAAACGTTCTTGACAATATCTCAGACAAGCAGAAGTAGCACAGACACTAATATATTTCACTTCTGTTGTGAACTTTCAGCAGAAAATGTGAACTAAATGCAGCACAAACACAGTCAAACAAAGGCTCGTAGAACAGGTGAACATCCGCACTAACCTCTCTTATTGTCAGGCCGAGCATGTTTGTAGAAATTCTGTCAAAACCTTTTAAAAATGAAAACAACCTTCGTAAAGTGTGCAGCACAAGCAGGCTGCCATGTTTGTTTCGGTCATCGGGAGTCTAACAGCAGCTTCTGTGATTGGACAGTGGTCGTAGAAGGTGCCCGCTGATTGGTGGAGAGGCGGAACGTTCCCCAAGAAGGCGCCGGTCCAGGAAGTGGCATGCGAAGGAAGAGGACAGGGATTCAAAAATGTCCTCAATTCGGGAAATATTGCGGTTAATTATATAAATGCTTAGACGTGGTTGTATAAGAAGGACATGTCTCCAATTAGAGGTTGTTCTGGCTTTTAAATAATTAAAATAAGTGAATAATTTCGCTCTTATGTTTCTGGTTCGCGTGTAACAGGGACTGTTTATCTCTGCTGAAATACAGCTGATCCTTTTGACTTTATTGAAGCACTAAGGAGTTGTAAGATGAGTTGTGTTGGTCACTTCATGTACAGTAGGTGTTTGTTTCACCTCAGTAAAGTGAAAACATCGGTGCCCTGGAGAGGCAGCCAAAAAAGACTGTTTAGCTCTACAGAAACCTGCAGGACTGTCATGCCTGCCTGGGTTATAGATAAATATGGAGGCAATGATGTGCTAAGATTCACTAAAAATGCCAGCTTCCCCATAATCAACTACCCCAATGAGGTCATAGTCAAAGTGTCTGCAGCAGGACTGAACCCACTGGACGTCAGCATGAGAGGTGAGTCTTCTTTAAACTTACATCTCTACATTATACATGAAGGTCAGCTGTACAAATGTGTCACGATTGTAAAACACATTTGCCAACATCACTTAAGTAAATGCAAAAATATTTCGTTATACACGAAACACTATTTTCTGAAAAATCCAAAAACATTTCACTTACTGCAAAATAACATTCTGCTGCAGAAGTTTAAATATTTTTCACAGGTGAAATAGCTTTTGGAGAGTATGAAATATCTTTAACAGACTTTTTGCATGTTAAATATTTTACACAGAAGGTGAATGTTTTGCATGTTTGCATTTCGAATTATTTGCGTTATGTTTCACTGACTATTTCTCTTCTATACGCTGCAGTGTAACACAGTGCACACACACACACATCATGCACAGTGAAGCTCTAATATTCCAGTGAAGCAACAGTGAAGAAAATGCAGTTTTATTTTGAGAGGAGCAGGTCATGGATCATGTCAAAGTGTTTGGTATTCAAAATAAATACAATCAAACCCCCCCCCCCCACACACACACACACACACACACACACACACACACACACACACACACACACACATACTACAGAGATATAACATTCATTAAACCTTTCCCCCTTAGTTTAGCGTCTCAGCCTGCTTACATTTTCTCAGCACTAACAAAGTAAAGCTGAGGCCGATGGTAAAGTCATACATTTTCCTGGTAAATACATTAAAGGCATTCAGTGTTCTCTAATGACCTTTATTATTCTGTCATGTTGAACTGTTCTGACGCTCTAAACGTGGATATAATCAGAGAGTTTATCTCCCCCTGTCAGGTGGTTATGGCGCTGCGACACTGACTATGAAGAGAGACCCTCTGAACATCAAACAGTCCGGCAGTGAGTTTCCTCTCATCCTGGGTCGGGACGTTTCTGGGGTCATCATGGAGTGTGGCCTGGATGTGAAGTACTTCAGAGAAAGGGATGAGGTAAGAATATAAAAAAAAAAAAAAAAAAAAGGTATTTATTATACTGGTCCATAATAAAGTGGTGTGTATCAGTTAGGCCTTGGATTTAGTAAGAATCCAGAGGTGTGACACACATATGATACAGGAGCTATCATTCAGTATATAGAGATATTGGAAGCAATGACAAACTAATTTCTGATTTCTGCTTAGTGTTTTCAAAAATAAAATGCAATGTCAGCACTTCTCTTTATGAAGTCTGAGCAAAGCACTTAAAATCTGCACTAGTTAAAGTATTCATTAAATAAAAATCAGCAGTTTTTCTGAGAATTGATAGAATTATGAAAAACACATTTGTGTGTGGTACCCCAGTGGATGAATATGTTTCTGGAATATCACATGTAACAGGCAAATACAACCTGCAGAGAACCTCCCCTTGTTTATAGAAACAACTTGTTCCTGCACACACACTGAGTCATGCATGAATAAAGTATGAGGGTGAAGTTTATCGTCAGGTGTGAAGTAAACAAAAACCTGAAGCTGCGGAAACCACACAACATGTTAAAGAGAGAGGAGAACCATTCAGAAACATCACGTAAATTGTGGTGATGAACAGGAAGGCTCAGAGCAGAGTCAGTGTTCTGCAGTATCACTCTGAGCATGTCGCTGGTTGAATCACCTGTATTTTCAGGTGTAGTAATACAGGACTGTTCTTGGCTGACATCAGGCTCTGCATTGCCAGTCGAGCGTTATCACCACAGCGTGTCTGAGCTCATGGGATCAGCTCGTACACTTCTGGCCTCTTTGTCCAATCTGTCACACGGATCCGTTCCTCCAGGATTATGCACCATCGTCCTGGCCTGATTTAGAAACATGGCATGACTCGGGGCCTTTTAACGTCTTAGCCCAAAATGACCTCAAAGTTACATCGGCACATCCCATGAGGCATCAAACCAATCAGTCGATCTTTAATTGTATGGCGCCCATTCATAGGACATTTACATTTAAAGCTACAGACACAGAAACGGCCTGTTCTGAGCAGAGCTGAAATTTATAGGCTTTGTTTAGTTGAGAGTACAAATCGCCTTGAAATTAGTCTGTTTTTCTTTTTTGAGTGGGGATTTTAAGAAGTTAAAATCCATCAGCGCCTCCATTTTCTCAGGAAACTAAGAGTGTTTGGTGTATGTAAAAACATTATGTTCATTTTTTACAGAGCAACAATAGAGTCCATTTTACGGTATGGCATCACCAGCTGGTTTGGTGTTTTAACAGTAAAATCTAAAGCTCAGATCCTCAGCCTGGTTAAGACAGCAGGCAAGATCATGTGAATGTGTGCCCCTCTTACCCCCCAGGATCTTTTTGAGCAGGCCACAATCACACAGGCCAAGGGCATTTTATCAGACACTTCCCATGTATTGCACTCCAAATATGTTTTGCTGAACTCAGGGAGAAAGTACAGGGTTCCTCTGTGCAAACACAACTGCTTCAAAAACTCACTAGTCCCTTTTTCAGCTAAGCTCATTAATGAGCAAAAAATAGAGGAGGAACAGAAAACCAGGAGGCCCCCAATGTACCGATAACTGTAGACATGTATGTATGTATGAAACCGTCGGGAGTGGCATGTGCACAGAGTGCGTGCGTGCGTGTGTGCGTGCGTGCGTGCGTGCGTGCGTGCATGTGTGTGCGTGTGTGTGTGTGGATACGTGGGCAGACGCTTGGGTGAACTGTAGCACGGATGGGCTCAGTGTTTTTTGCACATTTGTAATTACTGTTTTTATGTTGTTTTTGATGTGTTGTCCATGCAGCAATTTCCCAGCATCCTAGACAAATTTCTCACTAGGGAGATGAATAAAGAAACCTTGAACCTTGAACCTTAAATTCAGCACCAAAAAATAGTTGACTTACATAAGCAACTCTGAAAACAAACCGTTGAAAATCAAACGTGATACTTTCAGAGGGGATTTGACACTTTACTGTGTATATGAGGGTACAACTCTTGACCACGAGACCAGGATGTTCTTTCTGTTTGTTTGTAAGTGTCTCTTTGTGTGTCTCCCTTTAGGTGTGGGCTGCTATTCCACCGTGGAAGCAGGGCAGCCTGTCGGAGTTTGTGGTGCTGAGTGCTAACGAGGTATTGTTCCTCTGATGGTCTGAATGATTGTTTCACGCTGATGCTTATATGATTCATCACATTTATTCATTGAGTTTTAGGGCCTTGCAGGTCTTTTGCAAGGATGCATTTGGGCTCATTATGTCCTTATTGGAGAAACAAGACAGTGAATAGAGTCGTAAATCGGGGAGAAAGAGAGCGGGGAATGACATGCGGGGAGAGGTCGGATTAGAACCTGAGCCGCCTGCTTCGAGGTCAAAAGCCTCCGTACATGGGGCGCACAAACTAACCTCTTGGCCACCGGCTCCCCGCACTTTATAAATTTAAACCTCAGCATATCAGAAAATGTAAAACCTATGAGGGATTCATTTTGGTGTTTTGCATTTTTTTGAAAGCCTAGTAGTGGCTTAAAAAAAACAAGAAACATGTACTCAATCATCTTTCTGATGGAGTTTTTTTTTTAATGTGACATATTCATGACTTTGTCTGCAAATGAAAAGTCTTACTGCTTATCCTGAAATAATGCAAATAAAAACAAGTGCAGGATTTGATAATCTACTAAATCAGGCACCACAATGCTCGTACTCAGAGCATGTTTACTATCTCTCAACTCAAGGAAGTGCTGTATTCAACTGTATTCATTCTAAATGTGTGTTGTGTTCAGGTGTCCCTCAAACCACAGTCTCTGAGCCATACCGAGGCAGCCTCCATCCCCTACGTGGCCACCACCGCCTGGTCCGCACTCGTTAACACCGGCGGGCTCAGCAAGGACAACTGTGCCAAGAAACGGTGAGGGACACACGGACAGACATTGTAACACACTCCATGTCCGCCTCCTGTAAGAAGCTGCCGCTCTTTGAAGTGGCCAATTATTTCCCTCCATCCAAGCTTAGCCCCCCGTTAGCCTCACAGCTCCATAATGAGCCTCAGGGTGCTCTGCTCCTCTGGCAGCCTCCCTGTGAAGTTGGAGCCTTAAAGCCCCGAAGTTCAGCTGACATGAATCCTAATGAGGGAGAATCTGTGCAACAATAGTGAGGAGAACATTGTCGACACATTTTTTTACATCTGTCTTTTTCTCCTCGCCTGCAGGATTCTGATCCTCGGAGGATCCGGGGGAGTGGGAACATTTGCTATACAGGTACGGATGTCATCATGTAACAACCTGTTCTAAATATAAAATATATTAATATTTTCACAAGGCCTCAACAATAAACTGCAGTTTTATCAGTATCAGAATATCAGTATTTGCAATAAGCACATTGCAAAGTCTGAATGTATCACAGCAGATAGAAACTGTTATTTTAAGTAAATGAGCAATGCTTTCTTCAGCAGCATGCTTACACCTCACCTGATAATGGCCGTGCTCGCACCATTTAGATACAATCAGATGAAGCTAAAGTAAGCTATCTGCTACCCTCAGGTAAACAGAAATAGAATTTGGATTTGGGAGGGGAAAAGGCAGCAATAAAATGGTGTAATACATAAAGACTTAAAGGGGACATATTATGAAAAATCCACTTTTAGTGTTTTTGAACATATATTTGGGTAACCTGAGTGTCTACTGACAAACAAAATGTGAAATAAACCCATCCAGTCCTTTGTTTGTGGTCTGCATAAGTCTTACAACACAGAGAAAAATGCTCCGTTTCAAATGTGCTCTCCTTGTGATGTCACAGTGGGATTCTGGTAAAAAAAAAAATCCCCTCCCCTGATATCTCCACCCATAGACTCCACCCCCAGCCTAGAGAGAAACTTTTGCACAGGTCCGCCATTTTTATTCTCGCTACAGAGGAGTGATGTCTACCAGGAAAACTAAGGGGGGGAGGAGCTCATGACATTTAAAGACACACACACACCAAAACGGAGCGTTCTGAGAGAGCTGGTTTATACAGGGCCACAAACCTCCTCTGGTGCTTGATTCATGTTATGTTTTGACCAAAGCACAGCACAGATGTTTCATTTAGACCACAGGGGACTGTTTGAAAAGGTGGAGAAGGGGGATAATATGTCCTCTTTAAATAGAATTTGGATTCAGGAGGGGATTCAGCAGCAATGACAGGTATTGTGTTATACATGAAGAACAGCACACAGACATAAAAACTGTTACTTATAGCTAATATGAGCTCATTAATAGCTGTTTAATTATCACACTGTATATATATATATATATATATGCTTTTGATATCGTGTGTGAAGCCCTTTGAATTGCCTTTGGTGCTGAAATGTGTTATATCAATAACCTTGCTTTGCCTATATGGTTATGGCAATATCGATCAACGTTATCACACATTTCTTACTTTTTTTTTTTTTTCCACATCTTGCGGGCCTACTATTCCCCCACACGCTGTGCCAGCAGTGTAATAATAAACACGAGCGCTGATCATGAAATAAACAGTGGTGTTGTGAACGTCTGTTTGGCCTGTCGGGTTTCAGACTCGTCCACAGGCCTCTCCTCCTGACCTGAATACTGTAGCTCACATTACACACACGTAACACTCATCAATCATTCACCGTCTGTGCGTCTCAAACATTTGGCTTACATTCTTCTCCCTTAAATAATCCAAACCTGATCTTGCATATGACTGACATGATATCAATGAATACATCAATAAAACAATTATTGGAACGATGCTTTGTGTACAGATGCTGAAGGCCTGGGGAGCCCATTTAACTGTTACCTGCTCCCAGAATGCCGAGCGGTTCGTTCGGGGCCTAGGGGCGGACCATGTGGTGGATTACACTGCTGGACCTGTGGAGGAGCCGCTCAGAGCTCTAGAGAAGTGAGATACCCCACCTTACACGCACACACAACCACTTGTTACCAAGGCAACATAGTCCCCTGTTGCAGCTTATTAGTGCATCTCCCCTCTTCTTGTCATCTTCCAGTTTGTCCCTTCTCCTCCCTACCAGTAATTGTAACTTCCATTTTCTTACTCTTGCTCAATGACCCCCCAAAACATTCTGTCAGCTTCTTTTGCCTGTGTATCTATTTTTTACCCATAATACCCCTCTTCCCTCGTAGATTCGACCTGATCCTGGATAACGTCGGCGGGGACACGGAGCGCTGGGCGCTGAATCTGCTGAAGCCGTGGAGCGGAGCCAAATATGTCACCCTTGTTACACCGTTCCTGCAGAACACAGACATGCTGGGCATCGCTGACGGCATGCTGCAGACTGCTGCAACTATGGCCACCAAAGCTGTCAAGGTAAAACCTTTAAAGAACAACACCATGCCCTTTGATTTATTGAATATTTTTAATAAACAGCAGCTCTATTTCAGTATTTATCCAAATGAGGATGTTGACCAGAGGGTGCTTTATGAAAAGATCCATTAATGAACTACACCAGTGGTTTCCAACCTTTTTTCCTTGGAGCCCCCTCTACTTGTATCTTAAAAGCTGAGCCCCCCCCTCACACACACACACACACACACACACACACACACACACACACACACACACACACACACACACACACACACACACACACACACACACACAAAAGTGCTACATTGCTGTCAAAAATGAAGATAAACAGAAGAGGCCTAAAAAAAAGGAGAAACATCACCAGATCTAATTTTGACAACTTCAGAACAGCCAAAGCCTCCTCCCCTCGGGGGTCCCAGACCCCAGGTTGGGAACCAATGATCTACATCACTCTATGTTGCTGCAGGTAATTCTGCCAATAGGAGTGTATTTATCTCTATTCTAACACACAATGTATACAAATCTAGGATCAACTTGAAATATTTGATTCTAAAGATTTGTATCTTTAGAATCAAATATCATATATATACCATACAAACAGTGCAAAGTTTTATCTGCACAGTTTCATTTGAAAAAGGATCACAGTGTTGACACAGCGAGCTGAAGATCATGACTCAACTTCATGACACAACACAACGCCATCCATCCTGAGAGGGCGAGATTAGCACATACTGTATACACGCTAGAGCACATTCAGGGTTGACCTCTGTGTTGAGTAAAGAATATGTATACATGCCTCTTGTTCTTCTTGTGAATGTTGCTGCTTACAGCTTTTTGTGTTAGTAAAAACTATAAAAAAGGAAATGCTCACACACTTTTCTATGCCAAAAGAAACAATGAACATTAGAATGATTCAATCCAACATGAACTGAATGTTTCATAGAGATCAAACCTTAACTGAAACATTTAACACAGATTGTGTCTATGATCTTTTCTATGAATAGTTAACTTCTACAATCAGAATGAAGAAATCACAACTGTATTTATTCTGCACACTTGACGGCCAAAAGTCTGTGAACATCCCAAGGAAGTGTGTGGACACCTTCCTTCAGATGACACACGTAGGGATTGCAGAAGACTTCATTACTAAACCCCAAAAAAACCCAGCTCCTTGACATACTGTCACACTGATTTACTGAAAAAGATTTTCTCACAAGACTTTGAGACCTGGTTAGTTAACACATCAGTTATTTCCTTCAATCAACAATCCTGTCGGTGGCCACTGCGGTGAAAATTATGCAGAGCAGAACTTGCTCGCTGTGCATTTGTGGCATTTGTGGCGTGTGTGTGTGTGTGTGTGTGTGTGTGTGTGTGTGTGTGTGTGTGTGTGTGTGTGTGTGTGTGTGTGTGTGTGTGTGTGTGTGTGTGTGTGTGTTGTGTGTGTGTGTGTGTGTGTGTGTGTGTGTGTGTGTGTGTGTGTGTGTGTGTGTGTGTGTGTGTGTGTGTGTGTGTGTGTGCCCGTTTCACATCCGTGCACTCACCACATTTTTCCACTGAAGATAAAATACATGCCTCAATGTCGGTGCAGCAACAAGCGAACCAAAAAGTGAAAAAAACATCTTCACTTCCTTCCTGATTCTTTGATCGGTTACACCTAAAACCAAAAGAAGTGCATCAAGGAGAGGAAGTATAGGAGCACATGTGTGAGGTAGGAGAGTTATATGTTCACTGCAAGAAGCTACCTCAAAAAAAACGGAGAAAATATTACCTTAAAGTATCCTCCAACAGAAAAATATAAACACTATGAAAGTTCAGAGTTTATCTATGATGAATTAAATGAAATATATAAAATGCTTCTAAAAAGGCAAAGAGCGGGATTCATGTTTTTATTCTGTCTCTTAACTGGACAGCTGTCGCTCAGTCGGTCGTCTCTCAACTGGAAGGTCGAGGGTTCGAGCCCCAGCTCCTGCAGCAACATGTCCGATGTGTCCTTGGGCAAGACACTTAACCCTGTATTGCTCCCTCTGCTTCGTCAGCGGTGAATCAACATGTATGAATGGATTAGTTAATTGATCCTGCTGTCCTCTTCCTTTTCATCCAGTATCCCTCTGTCATCCTCTCCTTTGGTTAATTTACTTCGGTTTATGTTTCACTCATTCTTGTCATGAATGCCACGGTGAGGAGTAATGAAGTGGTGATGCAATAAGTCAAACTGGCAGGTGAATCTATAAAGAGCGATATTTAATATTGATACTTGGTGCCAGTATGTGGATTATTGTCTTGCATGTATGATTTTTGCTGTTAATATTTTTATATTTTGTCCCACCCCTGGCATCAAAGAATCTACAGATATCTTCAAACTAGTGCAAAAAATGTATTTGTCTGACAGAAGGATAGGATTGCTTATATTTAGCATCTCATGCTGTCACCGTCATCTTGAAAGATCTGAAGGGATCGAGATCGAGACAAGACCCTAAATATCAATTGAAGATCATCATCTTGTGTTTAGGAGGCGTGTCACTTATTTAGACCAAACTACAAATGAATTGAAGTTATTTGTTCTTTTAGAAAGGGCCGTTTTCCCTTCTAATCACAGTACTGATGTGGAATAATAGCCTGTCAGTGGTGCCCTTGACCGGTCTTGGTTTAAAATCTGGAATCCGCCGAGGCCGAGTAAAAAATGCTTTCGATTCTGTTGATTCCCCTAATGTGCAGCTCTCTAAGGTGGATATCCTCAGTGTGGTACGTCTGACAATAAAACAGTGAGCTCAGTTTAGAATGACAGTTGCGGTTTCGTTTCTGACTTCCTCACTGCCTTCAAAGTAAAGCAGGACTTAAAAACTTGTCGTGAATTCGAAACTGAAGAAAGTAAGGCAGGATGGAGGGGAAAGTAAGAAGTTGGGACAGCCCCAGCGAAACTTTGCCCTTTTCTTTTCAGAGTGTGTGAATGTCAAACTCTGGGGTTTGCCCCAAGTGCTGAAAGTGTGAGGAGCAGAGCTGTACTCCATCACTGCTAATTCTTTCCTATATGTCCTCTATCCTGTCCGTGTTAGAGAAGTGTGCTGCGTCTTTTCCCTCTCTTGCAAATCCTCTTCCTCCTCACAGTGAGGAAAGTGTTTCCTGCACTGAAGTGTCTTTGTAGTGCTGGAGAAGTGCTCCGTTTTTAGTTTCCATAGTAGAGAAATCAACAGCTGTGTCCCATTCACATTTTTGAACTTCCTCATAAGATTCTTTATGGGCACACCTTGGGCCTCATTCAGTCAGTGTATAAGAGTTATATCTACTCTACAACAGCATTGTGTCTCACATTTTGTCTCCAGTCAGACCTCAAATGTGACACAGATTATCCAGACTGACGCAGCATGATTCTGTTTGTTTCAGGTTTAAAAACATCAAATATGGAAAGAAGTGTTGTCAAAGTACCAGAGCTTTAAGTGTCAATACAATACAAGTAGAAATCAAATAATATGAATACCTGTTTTGTTAACGCAGCCAAAAAATAGATCTGAAAAACTATTCCAACTAGCTACATTTGTATTATTATAAAACAGGAGGTTTTGAAAAGTATCCATTTATAAAAAACTTTTGAAAACTTCAATGGAAAGACACTCACAGCAGGATGATGTCACATTGAGGTATAAAGGAAAGGAACAGGAAGCTCAAACTACTGCACATCTTCAGGTCTCACCTCCTGTTTCACTCGCGCACACACACACACACACACACACACACTTTACTTTGTCTGGTTAAAGAAAAGCAGGCAGAGCGCCAACAGCTGGCGTGTTGTCACTGTGTCCTCGTTTTTATAAAGGCCTCAAGGAAACATGTGAAGTAACTCTTTTCTTCCCTTCAACACACACACAGACACACACACACACACACACACACACACACACACACACACAAATACAAACTAATGTAGGTCAACCATAATAAAATGGAATCCAGCTCAGCAGTTAGGGGAAATAGGATTAATCACCACCCAGTTGGTGACACACATGATCCTCTTGGTTTGAGTCATGAAAGTGTAAATGTGCATATGTTTATTATATACACGCATACACATTAATGTATGTGTGTATGCTGTTGTACAAAGACAGGGAAATAAGTGATGAGAAGGATCAGAATCCGATTTATTGGCCAAGTATGTGGGCACATACAAGGACTTGGGCTGGTTTTACATTCTCTCAATGTACAGGCAAATGTAGCACGCATTATAGAAATAAGACATCAGGTGATAAGATAAGAGAAACTTTTGTTTATCCCACATGGAGGAATGCACAGTGTCACAGCAGCAAAGATCAACACATACCGTACATGTATCCATAAATGACACAAACTTACATACTCACACTCAACCGGCACATATTTTTAGATTAAAAAAAAAGTTAAATCAAGTAATACAATATGTAAAATAAAATATTCTCTTCACTTTTATCATTCCTGTTCAGGTGAAGCCTCCTGTCTTCCTTAATGTTCACATATTGTTCCCAGAGCTGGACTAAGTCTCTTACACTGTAAAAGTTCCCTTATCCACATTCTCAATGTGGGAGCATCCATACGTTTCCAACGTAGTGCAGTAGCTCTCCTGGCTTGCAGAAGTCCAAAGTCCAGTAGTTTGGTGTGTTTGTGCGTTTGTGTAAAGTCCTCTGGAAAATATTCCATGCACACAGAGTTTGACATACAAAGGAATTTTTGTTTTAAAAACCTGTGACAAAGATTTTAAAATACCTTTCCAATAGTCCTGAATCTTTGTACATGTTCATAGACAGAAAAAAAGTAACGCAGTGCACAATTAAAAAACGGAGGAGCTCAAAACCGAGCTGCAGTTGTTACAAATGTATTCTGAACATTCACAGTTGTATTAAAAAACACATTAATGCACACAGTGAACTTAAGAGCCTTTCTTCATGCTTTTCCTCTCACTCTTGTTTTCTCACAGCACCTCGTCAGAGGAGTTCACTACCGCTGGGGATTCTTTGCACCCAGCGGTCCTGCACTGGATGAAATAAGGGCGATGGTGGATGCAGGACAGGTAGGGTACATAATGTCTTCTGTCAATATTCAGGGCACACAATGTACAGAAAACTATGTTCCCTATTTACAGTCTAGTGTTCCTTCTAGATTATTTGCCATTGTGATACCCCTCAAATCTTGATTGGAGTAAAGAAAACCGAGCAGCATCCAGAAAACGATTGTTTGAAGAAGCTCCATCTCTTAACTGATACGTCTCTGTTGTTTGTAGCGTGATTCAAATGTACCCTCACATCTTGTATTAGCTCTCTGCTCACCCTGCATCATTCTGCTCTCTGTCAGATCCGGGCTGTGCTGGATGAGACCTTCAGCTTCTCGCAGGTCCCTCAGGCCTTGGAGAAAGTGGAGAAGGGTCACGCTCGAGAAAGACTGTGGTCCAGATCAGCAAAGGAGGAGGCGACTTATAGCACTGACTCTATGAGAGACATTTTTGAAATGAACTCAATGAAACAAAGACTAGAATTTAAAGGTATGCGGTTTGGAAACAAAGTACAAATTTACTATAATCACTGTGTGTGTTTCTTTGTCTATGGGTTTTGTTGCTTTACTGAGCGTGTCATAAGAAGATAATACTTAAGAACTACAATAATTAAGAACTACAGATGTGCGTGGTTGCTTATAATTACTCAGTCTTTTTATAGTTGTTAAGATAAAGTAAAGTAAAAAAACAGTAAACATATGAGGTCTGTCAAGGTAATATAACTGAAAAAAAATGGGTTTGGACAAGAACCAACCTCAGGTGTGAGAAAGGAAGTCAATGCTGTGGTGCAGAAAACTGCAGTTCCTTGAGTGTCCACATGAGGCTGAGTCTAAAGCCCAGCTGTCCTATTAGGCCCATATTCAAATGTCCACTTCACAGCAGGAATTAACATGTTTACAGATAGGTTGTAAAAAACTAATTTGCTACACAAAAGCTAATTTCTTTATCGGTTCACACTGCAGGAGGGAAGATTTGTTTAAAGCTTATCTGTTTTGATTTGATAATCCTAAGAGTCAGGCAGATTATGGGCTTTACTGAGTTGAGGAACCAGTGGACACATTGTAGCTCTTTACCCATGCCTTGCCAAGAGGCGTACCTCAACCTCTTGGCTTGTTTCTAGATTGAAGAAAAGGTAGGTTGAGGTAGCATTTGAAACAAGGCGTGCACAATGGTTTCGGGCAATGTTCATTCTGTCTTTTCCCACAAAAACGTCAAGGCAGTTATAGGTACACAGAGTTTAAAATAAAGCAGCCTAATACACAAAATCCTCTCTTCATGCATAGTAACAGGTTTTCCATTAAGCCAAAAGACATCATTAATATTACACATATCACTTTATTCCAACAGGTTTCAGTCTTCAAAGTTAAGTTGGATCAATGTCTCTCCAAAAACAGTTTTTTAACGTAGAAAACATGACTAAGCGGTTGTCAAAGACATGATGAGTGTTCTTATACAGCAAACAGAATTTGAAATAGTTTTTTTGTACATACTTTATTAATCCCAGAGGAGAATTTCTGTTTTTTTACACTCGGTTATTGAGAGTCATGCTTCTCACACACATTGGCCCGGATCACACACAAACAGGAACTGTGTGCATGCATTCATGGAGAGTTGTCAGAGTGGGCTGCTACACAGGGAGCTTGTCAGAGCGGTTGGGGGTTTGATGCCTTGCTCAAGGGCATCTCGGCAGTACTCTGGAAGTGACCTGGCACCTCTCCAGCCACCAGACCATCTTCCATACTTTGGTCTGCATCGGGACTTGAACTTGACCCCTGGTTCCCAACCCTACAGACTGAGCTACTGCTGCCCCCCCAAATGACCGACATTTAAAGTGTGATGTTGTCATTTAATTAAAAAGTAAGTGATCTAAGTCAGAGTTATTTCCATACTGATAAGAATATGTGAAATACCTCCAATATTCTCTGAATTAGTCAGTGTATGTTTGTTTACGCAGCAGTCTCATGACTCCATTTATTAGCCCGAAACTCTGTCACTTCTCATTTTTTCTTATTGCATGTCTAAATTGTAACTTCAGCTTCTCTATTTATTTCAGAGCAAGTGTTGTTTGTTTTAAATGCAGAGTGCTCTGCAGATCTAAATCAATTCCACTCTTAATCTATGAAAGATGAAAAAAGTAATTTGACCTTCAGAGTAATAAAAGAAAACCTAAACCTAATAAAAGAAATGACATCCACAACATGACTTCTTCAATGTCCTGAGAAAAACAATATTTTATTTAAAAAAAGACAAAAATCAAATCAGATCCTTATCCTCATGTATAACAGTTCTTTCTTTTACATTCACATATTTACAATCAGCAGGAGCAGAATCTTTTATTGAAGTTCTGCTAAGAAGGTCAAACTATACACTTAATGATTCTGTACAAACTAAAGTAGTGAAGAATGGTATGTATGAAAAGATAAAAAGCTAAAAAAAACTCTAAAAGATATCAAACAATTTACAGGAAAATAACTGGACAGAGATCTTTGGAGTGAAGGCACAGCAGACTTTAGATTGCAGCTGACATTTAAAGTATACATTCATATTTGTCCATTTCTAAAGAGCAGACATTGGACCTCTGCAGAAAAAGAATACCATGAAGTAACAAGCAGCATTAAGACAGGGCAGAGTTCTCACTAAATGCAGTGAAAACAGAGAGTGGGGAGTCAAAGTCTTTGGTGTATAATGTTTCTAAACTCTGAAAAAAGACATCAAACGACTGGATGTAGTGTTGAGACAGTTAATCGTTGCACCCATCATCAAGAGTCAAAAAAAGACGAAAGAGTGCAGTTTTAAATGACCCGCTGGGTTCATCTCTTCGGTGTGGGCGCTACGGTGAGCTGCATCACAGGGCTCAGTGCCTCTGGCGGAGCTGCAGCAGGGGGACCACAGATCACAGGATCACCAAAGTCCACTTTGGCTTAACTTGCTCTCATCGAAGGTGTTGATGATCACCTGGTTTTGTCATACTGTTGACCACCTAGAGTGAAAAACAAGTAAACAGAAGTCATTAAGAATAGTTGTGTCTGCATGAAGCTGCATCAATTACCACCACTATCTGCTCTGTCTAAAAGTCCCCTGATTACAATAATGATTGTACTGTTCAAAGTAATGTACAGAGTGTCGTAAAACACATGATGAAACTTCAAGTGTGACATCACTTGTGAGTAATGTTGCACAGTATCCACCGTCTCTGAGCAGACGGTAACATTTTCACTCTAACTGCATGCAGCTGATTTGCGCAGAAAGAGGTCGATTTAGCCTTCAATAAGTTCACAATTGCTGCAGCACTAAAGCACAGGGATGTTTTTTGCGGTTAGGGCAGTGCAGTTAGGGAGCATGTTTTGTCATTTGCGCAGGATAAGTTGGTCCAATAGCTGCCCAATTTTCTGTGAATTAGGTCCATTTTAATTTTTTTGAATTTTATTTCATTCAAACAAACAATAAAGTTAGGAAAAAACAAACAAACATAAATGAAATGAAAAGGAGCAGAAAGAAGACTAATCTTATTATATCTGCCCCTCTTTCAAAAAGCATTAATTAAAACATCAGTGTATAACAAATTAAACAAATTAGACTATTGACAACAGGTGGTAAATTGTGATATATCCTGTCACTGCACCACCTCAACACACCAGAGGGAGCTGTTGGATTAGGATTTGGTCTCACCCATATACTGGAGTTGTACTACACAGGGAAGTCTAACCTTTCTTCTTTACATTTTTTTTATATTCTTTAATTCTATGCACTTTAACTTGACAAAGATTTCTTTCTGATATCTGACCTTGACCTCCATGACCAGGTCCGGTTTGAGGTGGCAGCGCACCAGGCCGTCTGCAGTGATGTTCCACAGCTGGTTTGCTTTTCCTCTCTCGGGGGAAACGCAGAGCCGGCAGCCCGCCATCAACACACTGCCTGAGGTCTCCAGACAGCAGTCCTCCACCAGCTGGAGGACCAGGATGAAGAGGCATTAGTGAGTGAGCAATAAATGTCTCCAGCAGCATGCACTTTAGTCATTAGAGACTGGTCAAACTGATATGGTAAATGTGCTTGATGATCGTTTACCCACAGACTATAAAAGCCTTTTTAAGACACTTTGAAAAGAAAGTCTTCAGGTTACATTTCTAGCTACGCTCTTGAGACTTGACTTGTTGCTTCATTTCCCACCAAACTGCACAGAAAGCAGTCTACACGT